GTGCGTTTCTAGGATCAAATGGATGGTGCGCTGTAAACCCTCCGCGTATACTGATTACGGTTTGAATAATTGAACGAAAATGCATGAATGGTAAATACTTGAATGAAAATTACTGTTTACTGAATGTATATTGTATACAATTTCTCATCTAGGGTTTTGGGACCATGCAAGTTTTGTGGACTTTATATTGTATACATTTTATTATTATTTGTTGAATAAATAAACATCCGACTTCCAGCAGCCTACATCGCAATCAAAATTTTATGTGAATATCTAATACATTTAAAGAAAATAATATCATAATAAATAAATATATCAAATAAAATCAGTCATAAGTGATAAGAAATTTTCAATATATATATTGTCTCACTCAATGGTGCACGAATTCTGCGCAAAAACGATCAACTTAACTCTACATGGCTGCCGGCGAGATGAACTTTACGCATGCAAAACAGTTCGTTTAAAAAAAAGTTCGTCATGCGCGAAGAAATCCTAACTATAGAAATATCCTATTCTAAAAAAAACTAAAATGACGATAGTATTGATTTTTTCAAAGAAATGTGAATCTAATGAAATTGAACAGTAGCTATATATATACTATACTATATATATTCTATATACTTAGTATCCTTAGTATTTGTTTGGGACATATGTAGCAGTCCCAGGCCACGATGGGTTGCCGCCTCTATATATACTATATATACTATATAGTATACTATATATATACTATATAGTATATAGTATATGGTATATACTATACTACTATATACTTCTATATAACTATATAGTTCCCCCAATAACCTGTTGCTCAAGGCAAATACAAGTTAAAGTAATTGAATTGTGAATCACGCAACATATGAAAACCAATTTTCAATTACACAGAAAAATTACTATGTCATATTGACCAAATAGCGACTCATCCTGCACGTATCACTGATAAGATCTTTTATTGTCTGGCCATGCTGGGTTAGGATGACCCAAACCAAGCCCAAATGCGCATCACTATTCGGACAAACTTCTGTCATTTCTTTGAGTGTTCTTATACGCACACTCTACAGTAATAAGGCATTAAAAAAGTTCCTAATATTCCAAATAAATTTCCTAATATTCATAATATTCCTGATAATATTAAAATAATAATAATAATAATGTTTCTAATATTCCCAATAAGTTCCTAATAAATTGATTCTGTCATTAGATATTTCAAGTGAACTTATTAAGCAAAGAACAGCCTTTCGCTTGGAAATTCACATATGTACATGGATATGATAATAGGAATTCAGGATGAATGAGTACACGACAAGTGGATTCAGGTTGAATTGACAAATAATGTAACTGCAAATGTGCTATTATTATTGTCAATTTAAATCTTCGATTTCAACTCAAGCGAGAATTTCATTCAGTTGTATCTTTAAAACTTGGGAATCTTACTCCGATACATGTGGGGAGTTTCGATCGATTCGAGTCGTGCTATGCTATTACTCTGACCGAAAAGTAATTAAAATTTGGCCTTCACTGCTCGGAAAAATGTCGTTAAAACTTTAGACTGGTGTTTGATAGGCTGGCTTCGTGAAATTCAACCAAGTCAACTTTTTTTAGGAAGACGAACGAACCAAACTGCGACATATGAACGATTCGATTTAATGGGACAACCAACCATGTTTTTAAGCATTAAGCTGTCCAATTTAAAGCCAGGATTTCTTTGACTGTTATTATTTTGTATACAACTATTGTTGATCACCCAGAGAAATCCATAATTGTTGAAGTACCAGAATTAAACATACTTCTTTTTAATGCAAAACTATGGCCGTCATAATAGTTACATGACTTGATAAATCTGTAATTGTGGCCTTCGGATTAAGTATAGACTTAATCGTTATACAACCGCAATTGAGGTCGTCGTATTGAACATTTTTGAAGCGGTAATTAATTTCGCCAATTAATAAAGGTATCATACAATCCAAGGTGCTCAAGAAATTAGAGAACAATAACAGATCTGATCCCAGGTTAACGCTTAACAATTGCTAAAAACTTATCGAAGCAGCATTCACAATATTAAAAAAATGGCATGAGCGGAAAACTTCTGGATTTATAGTCTCTCTGTTTAGTAAATATTCTCAATGCAACAAATGTCTGAGCATTGTATGCTCAGTTGAGTCTCAATTCTAGTTGGGACGTCGGTTGTCATTTAAATTATCGGGATTCACGTTCTAACAATAATTTTCTTCCGTGCAGCTCCAGCCTTTCAACTTGCGTGTTGGCTACAAATTTGGGTCAGATTCACGTCTCATTAGTTGCTTTCTTAAACTGAGTCATCATGCATGAATAAAACGAATTCATTACAAATAATTACAAGGCTAAACTAATTGTTCGGTTCACATAACAGGCATCATGGTGCTTCGGGAAATTTTTTCTCGTCGACAAGCGAAAATTTTATTGTTCATCACGATTGCTGCTGTTGGCATTGGCATCTTTGCAGCACCATATTTTACCAGGTAATTATGTGAACGTATGAAATATCATTGTTTGGTATGAATATTGTAGTAAAATATATCATTATTATTTTCTTACCAGGGAAGGAAAACTATATATAAAACTATATTGCTATAAAACTATAACAATATGACCACCCTTAAAAATAAGGGTGGTCATATTGAATAAATATGTCTGAGAGTTGTCAAGGTAATCCTTGGCTACTGGCTCATCAAATAATAAAAACAATGCACCTGTTTGTTTCATTGAGAAATAACAAAAAACCTGCGTTGTCATAAATATGACGACCCTGTATAAACTTACTAATATCCCTGGTTTTTGAGGCGGAAGGTCATTCCGATGTCGTTAGAGGCATAGATAACAGAACGAATATGTAGAAAATTCCCGGTAAACTTTTCTGCATCAGGATGCCTAAGCGTCCGATATCACCTCACCGATTACGTGTAAAGTTGTGCATCAATGATTATCCCTAACACGTCTGTGTCTCCCCGATAAAAAAATATGTTCGCATAGATGAGCTTCGTTATATAGAATACAGGTTAATTAAAAATGATGAACCCGATTTAATAAATTCTTATTTTTTAAGTATAAATTCAAATTGAATAATTTATACACCAATGGAAAGATAAAGATTCCATTTTTTACCTATTCAAATGCGGAATTCAGAGGCGGCGACGGCATCTTCATGTCCAAAATTTTTTAAATCAGTCACTTAAATCTACCATCTACCAGCAACTCTGTTTACGTCCCGCCTCTACCAGCAACTCTGTTTACGTCCCGCCTCTACCAGTTTTTCTAAGAATTTCACGTTTTTTACATTTTTTTCGCAAAATTTACACGTACAAAAAATTTTCTCTTTTAGTTTTACACATGTGTACCAAGTTTCAAACTGATCCATCTGTAAATGGCTGAGATACAATTTGCCCCGACGCTCCCCTTAAGTGACTAGCTAGATCTTTCGGATACTTCTGTTTTGATTTAGACTAAATTAGCTCGAAATGCAGATAGCACCCGTTATCAAATATCACATTTTTTACTATCTGAATCTGAAAAATATTAAAATATGTTTGTGTTACCATCTTGGGTAATTTTTGTAATTGAAAACCAATCGTATCGTTGTATATTCAACGATTTTTTTACATAATCTCTTGTATCACTGTTTTACGAAAAGAAGAGTGGCCAAAATTGAGAAAAAATACTGTACAATGTAATATATTATGTAGTATTGCTGTACCAACAAAAACATTTGGACGTTTTAAGCATGTTGAATATTCTAGACACCACCGTAGTAGTTTCACAGCTAGCTGCGGGTCTCGAGCCTCGCTGCTCCAATCTTGGTGGTCGACAGCAATGGGCCACCCAGAGTTGTAGCTTACTGCATCGGATATTTTGCCTCATTGTCACCACCGAGAAGCAGCACAAAAGTGATTATACAAGACAAAACTTTTTACTGGGCTCCCGATAAATAGTCAAATCAAGTTTACGACATTTTCTTGATAGGGATTTATGTCCAGATTTTCAGCTATTTCCCGCGCTGTCCAGGCATGAAGAAAGTCTCTGTTCAACTCTGTCAATCCAGTACACTGTAAAATTATGGATAAAACAGTCTTTCGATAACAAACGCAAGCCCTTGCATGAACTGAATTTTATCACAAACTTTATATAAAGTTCTGCTTGCTTTGGCAGTGTTTCAAAAAATTCTTAAACTTTCGATGTTTTAAAAATTCTATGCCTTCATTATTTTTAAAAAATTCTAAACTTTATAGCACTCCATAATACAATGCAAGGTTGTGTGAGTTTCTACAGAACGAGGCTGACTGAAACGTTCCAAATTCGTCACTTTTTGATCGAAAATTTTTATTTTATTGCAATCATTATCTTTAACTTTGATAAACTCTCAAGTAAAAAATCAATTTAACTCTCCTACGTTGGAAGTCACTTTGGATAGAAACGCCATGCCTGTAGATTCGTCATCAAAATTACAAATTGCTACAAAATCTTTCAGCCAAATCTCGTAAAAAATAGCAACTGTTGACCAGCGTGATTTTGCTGTCAACCAGAGACATATGAAGTAGAGAACATGAAAGAATAGAGATATTATTGTTGATAGGTCAATTTATCATCAATATTACGTATAGAGATGCAAATCAATCTCAGCGGCAAATTATAGGTTGTAGCAAAATGTTCTGATGTAAAATCAACATACAGTACGTCGTATTACTGAAGTGAAAATCATTACTAAATAGAAATATTGATGAAAGTCAACTTGAAGATCAGACGGGGAATAGATAAAAATTAATTATAAGCTGTTTGAAGAGGCGCATGTCTGTGCATAAAATTCCATTGTCTCTTCAATCAATGTTTGAATGCACTCAACTAACGTTGATAAAATGTTCACTTCTCTAGATAAATTTAATAAATTATGTTGAGAAACTAACATTTGTTTACTCACCTTTGTCCCTTAAATCCTTGACCATAATCTCACCTAATTCTAAATGGGCAGACACAACCGATGGTCATCCCGCGCGTAGTGGGGGGAGGAACGAGCGTCAACTTCGCGCTCTACGTCCGCGGCGCCAAACTCGACTACGACAACTGGAGCGCCCTCGGCAACCCGGGCTGGGACCACGACTCGCTTCTGCCTTATTTTAAAAAATCCGAGGACTTCCTCGGGACAGTCACAGAGCATTCCGGTGAGTCCCTACGGTCTTTCCATTTAGCGGTGAATGCTGAAGTTGACTGGCAGGTGGTCCAGTGGTTTCAGTTCAGAGTATCAGGATTGGAGCAGTGAGGTGCGGGTTCGATACCAGCTCTGTGCGCCAGTTCTGGTCAGTATCGGCGAGGAAGTCGAGCGGTTAAACACAGCAGAATTGGAGCAGCAAGTTGCGAGTTCGAGACCACAGTAAACCGTGTCTGCGATGTTAGAAATCGAAGACAGACACAACGGCCTTATCGAAGCTGAAACCGCTATTTCATTACATTTGACTAAGATCTTACAATATATTTTACACCTATTGCAAACTTCTCTACAGTAGTCTTCGTCCATGAAACATTGGAATTAAAAAGTTCTTGATTATCCCTTCCCTTCCGAGAGCTCGGAGGTAACTTGATCAAATATTGTACAAAAAAATGATCAGATCCGATTTGAATTGCGAACGAAAAGCAATTGACTTTCTTTGTGGAATGTTGCGAGCGTGACTGATGGTTGTCGCAGGTGAAAGCATGACGGAGAATTTACTCAGGGCAACGGTCAACTTCTTGGCAGCAAAAAGACTAGAGACGCTTGTGAGGTGCTCTGAAAGGCCCATTTTCGCGACGCCTTACTTTGGATAAGAGAAGAAAATTGCTCTGACGACTCCCGTCCAAGGCAATCTAGGCCAAAGCAAATCCGTATAACGGGCCTTCAAAATCCTTCATACCCATTCTTTTTCTTGTTCTCAGTGGGGAAGTCAAAGTGAACTGTAGTTTATATTTTCAGTCGAGAATGTCAGACTTCACGGTTTCGACACAAAGTGTCCAGCTCAAGATCTAAGCTCAGAACTTTCCTGTAGATAAAACAAAACATATCAAAGCACTGCCAGAGATAATCTGAAATGCACTTAATGGTACGGCTTAGACGACGAACTCATGTTAAAACAACATAATAATTACATTGATTCACATTCATACGCTCACATGACGGTGAAAACTTCAACATCTTACTTAAGTAACACAAGTAACCCCAACGTCACGGCTCCCGATCACACAATGATTATTCTAGCGCTGCAGCACGGACATAATTGATGAGCAATGTTCTCTCAGAACATAAAATTGATGACTGAAACGTCTAGTACTCAAAACCCTGTCGATAATGAGGTCATCTGCGCGAATGAGGCTAAGTTGGAGACTGGTACTTGGAAATTGGAGATGAAATAGCTGAGAAGCACAGGTGACATGACTGATACTTGGGGACACCCGTATGAACTGATCCGAAAGGGATCAACAGCTGGTTCTTAGTTCTTACTTCACAGCATGACAGCTTGCTTGTTAAGTGAAAGCAGAACTAGCGCACTAGTTTGTTTTGGAGGCAGGATGCCGAAATCATGGATAGGAAGAACGTCGATATCATAAACAAAAGCGCAGTTGAACCCTGTTGGAAGACTGACCGCACATTGCCCCACTGTGGGAGACAGGTTGTCGTGAGTTGAAAATCCGTGGAGATTTGAGGCGCGAGCGGGGGTTACCGTCGAGTTTATAGCCATTTTGCGACCTCGAAAAATCAAGGTAGGCGACGAGGTCTGACAACAGAAACAGATCCATACTTTGGCCGCTTGGCTAACAAGAGTTATAAAGAGGTACATGGAGTCCTGATCTATTTTCTTTCCGGGTTTGGTGATGGGAATATTAGGATGTTTTTAAGGATAACAGCAGTATGGCAAATCGCAGTCAGTTAATGCACGTGTTCTTTTCACTCTACAAAGATGAATACCACGGCAAGGGTGGACCTCTACCGGTCATCTCCACCGAAGACGTCAAAAAGATGGAAGAGTTCCTTCGTCCCGTCGCTGAGGAATTGGGACTCGAAATTATAGACCCTAACGGTCCAAACAACATTGGTAAGGGCACTGTATACACAATATTATATTTTATCGTACAAGCATTGTTATTCAAAGTTTATCTTCGATACACAGATTGTTTATCTAGTACGGGCTAAATTGTTTTGTTTTACTACACTCCAGTTAAGAAGTACGTTAATCACTTATCATCTGTTCCGTTAACTAAACATGTGATGGGAAAATGTCTAATAGCCATGAATTTTGAGTGAGAATAGTTAAAATTAGCGCTATGCCGTGGAGTAAAAATTATTGTTTTGAAATAATACTTTCACTCATTTTAAAAGTTTTACTTATAATCAAGAAATAGCATTTGACGACGTTGATCGAATGTGTGACACATTTTTTCTATTTTCATGTCGTTGATAAATTCTTTTGGTCGTGTAGCAGCCAAATATTTACTCATTTCAAAATGATACTCATACGTGTGCTGCTCAACTAACGACGGAGCGTCTTTGTAAAATATCAATTCAGGATGATGCATCGATTTTTGATGGTTAGCTTAATTGATTATAAAAGTGGTATTCGTATGGAGTGATCACACCTGTCGACATACGATGGGAAAAACACTATGAATAGAAGGAACGAATTTTTCAGATAAAGAATAATGTATAATTTCTATGCTATTATTCATTTCTCGATAACAGTTAATGATAAACCAGATAACAGTTAATGATAAACCAAAAAAATATAAAGCCTCGAATCTCATTCAAAGTTTCATAAATTAATTTTATGCGATCAACCAATAGTAATTAAATACGTCACCGGGAAGATTCAAAATCACCCCAGTTATTTAAGTATTATTCTTTTCTGATAAAATTTTAGAGGAATTTTCCATTTCAATTGCAAATTGTAACGGCATTTGCATCTACAAAATGATTAAAACTGAATGGAACAATGTTCGACATTTTATAACACAAATTTGTTTTCTAATCCGGCTAATAAAAATCCTCACGTAACACCGCCATAAGGAAAATTTTTCAGTGATATCGTTAATAGTGCAAATTTGAAATTAATTCAAAACAAACAGACGGCAGCAGAGACGGCAGCTGTCTTGATCCATCTCCGTTAACATCAACCTGAACTTTTACTTGTGAAGTCACGGCCATGAGTGATATCATGTACCGTTTATGTTAATTAATTTACCAAACGGGAAATATCAGGGAACGTTTGTGCTATTAAAGTCACAATGGGCAATATTGCGTTATGGCTCGGAAAAGCGACAGAATCTTTTGATCATTTACATGAACGAGCAAGAGGCTATTGAAAAATGTGATATTGACTGAATGGGATTAGTTTCTCTTGATAATTTATTATTTTGGGTGGGAACTTGTAAATTAAGTTGATACGCATCTGTACATTTCTTCTATGGTCACGTCAATACCGATCGTCCTTATGAGACACACCATAAAAGTTTGTTTACATCAATTTAACAAAAACTATCAGATAATATTTGTATAATAATTTTGCTAGTTATCATGCTACCAAAAAAACACCTTTTAGGTGCACCAATTCGAGATTAAAACGCCTATACATCTCACAAGAGGAACATATATACGCTCAAACAAATGATTTGCAAGTAGGCGTACTTTTGACCAAAAAAAGCAATCATAGAACATTTTCAAGGTGCATGATCCAATTTTAGCCAGCTGCTCCCTGCATAAAAATTATCTAAAAAGGTTGAAACTTGGCTTCGCTTGCCAATTATTGCTTGCAGAATAGTTTTATTCAAGTAGTTGCTATACATCAATAGTTTATATGGGTGGTGAAGCGGACACATTATCAAAGTCACATCGATGTGCCTTGTAAATAATAACTAATTGTGTTTTCAAAATCGCCATCTATACTAGTATGCCATACGGTATAGATGCATTATATCAATCTCTCATAAACGTGTGCTGAAATACAACATTTGCCTTAACAGAGGTGGGCTAATAGATTCTAATGTGTAGCAAGTATGGATCCTGAGGATTTATAATGCGTTATTCATTAACTCCTAAATGAGTTCAGGATTCGCACCGGTTCTATGCGTTATTCATTAACTCCTAAAATCGTTCATGCAGGAATCGCACCGGTTCATAATACCATAAAGAATGGAGTCAGGGTCTCTGCGCCTGAGGCTTTCCTAAGGCCGGTCAAGGAGAGATCGAATCTGCGCATTCTACCCGGAGCAAGGGTTGACAAGGTAAGATGAAAGAGAAAATTGGGAGGAATTAAATAAATTGGTATGCAAAAATCTTTCCATCAATCTCCTAGCTAGGTTGCTTTGGTACAAGTAAGTCGCATAAGCGTTACAAGCAAAGGCGAAGATTGGTCAGAAGCTATTCCGAACTTTTAGAGTGTCTCATTTCACGGTTACACTTGAAAATTATTTCGTGAAAATCGTCAGGCAGAATATAACTAATCTCAGAATAATCAAGTAAATTCGTTAGCAGAAATTTAATATTTGAAGCTTATGACATATGTCCTATGTTATAACAGATGAACGGTCGCGAAATTCCGTTAATTCGTTACTCGAGATTTTGACTGTCAAACATTTCGTCGAACGGAGAAATGGTAAGCGGGATGAAGCGAATTAATGCCGCGGTCCATGGCATACGGTTTTTAGAAAGCAATGAAAAAAATACATTTAAAAAAATATGAATAAGATGCACAATATTTAAATGAAATGGACACACGTGTTCCGGATAATATCGCATCAGCAACGAGATCTATATAGAATGCTATGGGCATAGACGGACTGACCTACTCTGACTAGAATAGTTTGCGTCTGAAAATTTTCACAAAACGTACAAATCTAAAAATACTGAAATAGCGGCTACGTAGAGATTGGAAGCTAGCTTGAGTGAGATTATACAACTAGGTCATTTAAGTAAGCTAAAAATTGATTAAATATATTATTTAAAATTATTTCTCTATTAAAAAAAAATATTGAACAAATAAACACACATTTTGCTAATCCTGGTTTGTTAATCTATTCCATTTGATTGAGTTGTCGACTAAAGGACCCTTCCACTTATGTTAATATTGATAGCAATGATATCATTCTGGAGGCTCTACTCGTTTACGTATCTGGGGACATACTTTCAAAACTGGCTAAGTGAACGTAAGTACTTACGCTCTATTTTCTTGTCTATTATTGGTGAATTTTGCTTGAAAGGCCGTCAACGATTGGCTGATGAACTTACGATCTCTTACATTTTTTTTGAAAGTATAGGCCCTGCATGGGCAACATCCTTTTCACCAGCTTATCGGTGAGAGTTGTGATAACTCATTCCCGAAGTAAAGATTAGGGCGCATATATTAAAACCTAAATGGATGTAATGGATGTAAGTGAACTAAAATCTGCCTACTCTTACTTCATCATGATAATCAATTGGTATGGTGAGGATCAGCTCATCATACCATCAACTCACATGTTTTGATGAGATATCGCTCGTTTTGTCAGGATTATTATTATTCATCTACAAAGAGATGATCGTGGCACATGGTTCAACATGACTTTGAGGGCCGTTCACCTATTTCACTATTGGAAGATAATGTATGAATTATTTACTTGATTTGTTTTAATAATTTTCTATCTAAAGTTGTTATGAATTTTGCGTGCTGTTGGGATTCCTGAGAAGCTGATCCATTTATATGAATATAATTTAAGGCTTCATATATTTTTGGGCAGATACTCTTCAACCAAGATAAGAGAGCGGTGGGAGTAGAATACACGTTCAAGGGAAAGGTAAATGCTTCAAGTGGATGGTCATTCAAAACTGTCTTTGAATGTCAGCGATAGTTCCTTGCCAGAAATGAACATTCATTGAAATACTTTTGCCAGACATTCAATTTGAATTGACGTATTTCAATTGCTGTGCGAAAGATTCGTATGTTTGATCACAATACAAACTTCCAAATATGGTGAAACTAAAACAGTGCTGGCTTTTCAGAAATTAATATTTATAAGAAGTACTAACCTAATTTCATGTATGTATGATCCTGTGAAATCTTGTTCCGGTATAATTTTGCAAATGGAATTTTTTTAAACCAGACCCACAGGGTGACAGCTCGAAAGGAGGTGATTGTAAGCGCTGGCGCCATTCTCACACCAAAGATTCTCATGCTATCCGGCATCGGACCAAAAAAACAACTGAAAAAGTTAGGCGTAAGTTCAGCTCAATAATTTTGTGTGAATGTGAAGATCACATATGTGATTGATCTCACTGACCTTGTGAGTCTATCTACAAAAAGTTGAAAAATGTGTTACTTTGAATAACTCTTCAAAATAACGAATGAAGTATGATTAAAAATGACCTGTCGGTCTCTTTTGCACATATCGTCGAGTTATTTTAAAAACAAATATGAGTCTGATCAAACAAACATAAAAACATAAACATAAAAACATTCATGCAATTGGCTTCCAACCAACAATGCTTTCAGATTCCTGTAGTAGCTGATGTCCCAGGCGTGGGACAAAATTTGGATTCACATTTGCATTTCGCGCTGAATTGGAAGATCAAGCCGGGCTGGTCAGCCATGACAGGGGATTTCTTGAGTCCTCGCAACATTGCCTCATATATGAGGGAACAAACCGGTAAATTTATCTCATTAAAATGATAACCGTTTGAGCAAAGTCCTAATGAAATGATAACGAAACTTTCCAAGACGCATCACTTGTATTAGGAAGAAAAGGTTATTTCAAGTACAACTTGAATCTCTTCTATTTTGACGCAATCTAGGTATATCACAAAGTTAATACTGCGGTTTCATGAATAGTGAAAATTTTAAACTTTTCACACGTAAAATGGTCGAAAACATTTTCCCCTTAGCTTTTGTGTTATAACTTCTGCTTAATTTATATTAGTCGTGAACCTGACATCACCGCTTAAACTATATTGTTTCCTGCCGTGAAATTCGTCTTATAATTAGCATATGCATGCACTGACGCAGTGCTGGATGACCGTTTTTTATTGCAATGTTCCGACCTGCTCATGTGTATCTTTGATCTCTACAGCCTGCAAACCATTCTAAATTTAAATTTAAAAGCCATCTTCAAATTGTGTAATTCAATTATATTTAGCTGTACGTTTTCGCATTAGTTGATCCCTATACGACACTACAATAGTCATGTATAAAGAAGGCCATGTGTGAATTTCAGCTATAAATTTCTAAATTTCTAACACGATCATAGAGGGTAGGAAAAGCGATTTCCAGATGGTCTCGCCATGCCCAACGCCACAACTGCTCTGTTTCTGGCAACGAACTCTTTATAGCATCTGAATCTGGTCTTGCGGTGTCTGGTCTTGCGGTGTCTGGTCTTGCGGTGTCTGGTCTTGCGGTGTCTGGCTTGCGGTGTCTGGTCTGTCTCTTATACACATCTAGATGTGTATAAGAGACTGTTTACGTCCCACCTCTACCAGCAACTCTGTTTACGTCCCGCCTCTACCAGCAACTCTGTTTACGTCCCGCCTCTACCAGCAACTCTGTTTACGTCTCGCCTGTACCAGCAACAATGGTTGATCTGAAGAACCGTATCACTGCTACGGTGCACTCAGTAACAGAAGATATGCTTTCTCGTGTGTGGGACGAGTTTGGCTACCCTTGAGATGTTTGCCGTGCGGCACAATTTAGGGGGACATATTGAACAATTGTAAATATGTATTAAAACTCTTTGAGTCATTCTCTTCCCACTGGTGTACAAATTCCTCATTTTGAATTTATACTTAGATGAATACGAATTTATTAAATTAGGTCCATCCTTTGGAATTCCTGTATATATCGCTTCACCACAAGGTTTTTATTTTATTTATTATTTTTTCTCTAATGAGAAATAACCAATCGATATGATATAGATTAATCTTATCAAATCGATTGGCTATTATGAATCTTATTTGGATTCATGTAGTTAATTTATTGCATGCAATTTACTGATTCCTGTCGTTGACCTTCATTATATGACCAACTTTTTAACAAACTTTTCAAGAATTTTTGGTAAGGATTGCATTGTCTGCTATACGGTAGTTAAACTATGTAACCAAAGGAAAATTGGCGAGTGCATTCCAGTTTGTATCATTAATCGAAAGCACGCGACAGCAACCCAGAAAACATCAGCATTGTCTTATCGATATCACTCATATACCATTGTTATCAACGCAATTAATGTTCCCCGCAATAGGCTGCATACTCCAGCAGTCACGATTATTCGGGCTGCAAGCTCTACTTGTTCGCGTGCTTAATCATGCTAACTGGTATAAAAGCATTCAGTTTTTGAAATAATTTATGTAATTTTTCTTGCGGACAAAACTTGGAGATTGATACTGGCGAATTAGACCTTTCAATAGTGAGGCTACATATCCAATGTAAATCAAAGAAAAAATAAGTTATTCATTTCTTCAAAACTATTATTCCGCGAGCTATCTTCTTTGTTTGAACTTATGTGAAAGAAAATACTAATTTTCCTCACTTTTCTTACCGAAAAGTCCGGAATTGCTGCTGGAATCGACGTTGCCGAAGAGATTGGTATTCAAGGCGCTGCGTTTGTTCCTGCAACTCACCTTCAGTGGCGGACCTCAGACTTACGACCAGGACCTGCCCGTGACGGGCGACTACGACTTCATCGTAGGTAGGCTACCGTAAACAGATGAGCTTCCCGTGACAGGCGCCTACGACTTTAGCGTAGGTAGGCTACCGTAAACAGATGGTGGCCACAGCCACGACCTCCCCGTGACGGGCGACTACGACTTCGTCGTAGGTAGGCTACCACATAAAAAATAGCGCAGGTGAGTTCCTTAAAATTCCTTAACGCACTGCAGAAGCGCCGCACAACTGAGGTAATGGAACATGATATGAAATTGTATTTGAACCTTCCTCTAATGATCTTAGTAGCATCAATATGCTTCATAAATGATATAGGGTAACATGGGGCAGCGAGCCCACTGCGGGTCATGGGCCCATAGCGTATTGTATATAGAATAGAAGAATACATAGTTTTTTCAAGTTCAGTTGAAATTAAACACTACCTGTTAAATATATTTCTGCCCATTATTCGTGCTTATAATTCTATCGATAACTTCGTTGTATTTATAACTGAAAATGATTGCGTCAGTGGGTGCCGGGGCGGCGGGCTGCGTGGTCGCGTCACGCCTGTCGGAGACCAGTGCCAGTGTGCTGCTGCTGGAGGAGGGACCGTCTCCTTCCATCGAGACCGCCATCCCCAGGCTGGCGCTCCTGCAGTATATCAGCGAGAACGTCCGCTGGGCGAAGACCTCCTCGCGGGAAAACAGCCTCTTAGGGGTCAAAAATAAGGTAAAAATTTTGTTGTACTTTTTTCGTTTTTCACTGGCTGTTAGTAGGATTTATAGTAGGGCCCCTTCAGTAAAGTTAAGGCGAAAATTACCCGGCCGGGCACCATAAAGAGGATCGTCTGACGTAAAGCGGCCAATTATGACATTCTCCGGTTCTTATACTCATCTTAAACCTTACTTTCTGCCGCATCGAACGGTACTAGAACCATCTCTGTACGTTGATTTATTCGTTCACGACAGATCCCGTAAAGGGGGAAGGGGGTTCAGTAATTCCAAAGGGGGAAATTAACTTTGAAATGTGCTCTCCACTCTGCTAGAGCTCAGTAACGTCACAGACAGCACGCGGGATGGTGTTCATTTAGTGGATCTTTGTACCGATGACTGACTTTGAAGTGAGTTGATGCTTACATTTGGTATCTAGGCTACGTTACGTGCCTTTACGTGCCGCGCGGCGGTTTTTTGCCTCTACTGAAAAGTTGCCAACGCTGCAAACCTCTCTCACGGCAATCCTATCTCCTCCTACAGTTTTAATGCTACAACAATGAGAGATATACCGTTCGATTCGCAAAGAAACGATCTACAAAAGATAGCATACATTTTTCTAATTTCGTTATAGTTTAGATTATATAATGCAAAAAAGGGGGTGTGGCGGGGGTAAAATCAAAAAATTTCGAAAATTTTACGAAAAACGCTCCCACACTTACAAAAATGAAAATTTCAAAAAACGTATGCGGAGTTTCATAGATCTGGTCTTTACGCATTGAATGATATGTGTCTCGATGTTGTAGCTTGAAAGCCCTAGGAATTCTAAAGCACCCCCTTTTTGGTCCGTTTTCTAAGAATTTCACGTTTTCTTTCAATTTTTTCCAAAAATTTGCACGTACAAAAAAATTTTCTCTTTTGGTTTTACACATGTGTACCAAGTTTCAAACTGATCCATCTGTAAATATCTGAGATAAAATTTTGCCCAGACGCTCCCCCCCCCTTAATTAAGTGACTCGCTAGATCTTTCATAACATAACATAGCAAAGTGATCTCGGCGCTGAAGCGTAGGCCTGATGTGGCCTGTCGCCGATTCTTTTCCTTTTCGTGCCTTGTTCATAGATCTAAACTCGTGTCATTTGACCGGATCTTTTCATGACTGACGATAGTTTGAAGTAGCTACTAGACTTCCACCGGGTTCGATAAGGAGCTAGGCATTTCAAATCTGAACATATATTTTTCCATAGCTTTATCTC